TTCTATTCTATTCTATTCTATTCTATTCTATTCTATTCTATTCTATTCTATTCTATGCCTTTGAGTGTTTAGACTCCTGGCGACTGCCTGGACAAGTCCCTGTAGTTTTCTTGGCAAGGTTTTTCAGAAGTGGTTTGCCATTGTCTCCTTCCTAGGGCTGAGAGAGAAAGTGACTGTCCCAAGGTCACCCAGCTGGCTTTATGCCTAAAAGGGGACTAGAACTCACGGTCTCCCAGTTTCTGGCCTGGTGCTTTAACCACTACACCAGACTGACTCTATCTGATTCTAGTAGGCTGATTTTCTTATACTGGAATATTGATTGAATCTCCATAGCAGAATAATCTCCATGTTGATGAATCAGTTCCCACAAGGTAAAATATGCATCCTAGACAAAATACATCTTTGAGGATGAAATGATTATGTAACTCCCAGATTGGCTGATAGCTATTTAGCTTGGTATAACAAAGGTCAGGCAGCTTAGCTGTAAGTGGAGTCATTTGTAGGCAGAGCCAGAGTTCCTATTCAATGGTTTGTACGGTATGCTAACCCAGGGTCAGCTAGGCCATGGTTTACTTACTTAATTATACTCAGAAAACTCAATTTTCTAATTTTGCATGACATGCTTAATAATAAACTAATCACAGGATCGTCATTCATACAGCTTACTAGGCTGAAATGTGACAGTTTGGTGGTTCAGTGTGTCCTGCAATCCAGGTAGAGCCAATGAGAGCCAGAATAACTTCAAGAGGCATATTGCTTCATAAATGTAACGACAACTTAGTTGATGTGTTCTGTTTCCGCTGGCCAGGGATATTTGTATCATGCATGTGTTGGAAATATCTTTGATTTAAACAGCTGGAATTTATATTTTCAAAAATGGCAGAATGAAATCATGTCCTTGTTTCTTCTCAATAAGCTTGGGAGGAGCCTTAAGGTAATTAAATATCACTCTACTTGATATGGATCAGTTTGCATATTGGCAGGCTGTTCCTGCTCCGTCAAAGAAGCCATGTGGATCTGAAATAATCTACATTCTTCTCTCACCTTTTGTACCTTTTAACTACCTTCCCTGAAAAAGACACTTGAAAACTTTGCAAGTGTTTGAAAATTTCAGCTAACCTAACAAAATATTGCTCCTATAGGGTTTTATTTTTTTTTCCAGAAGCAAGTAATTTCAAGTTATAAATATAAAACAGAGGATTCCATGCTCATGATCTGACCCTTCCAAAAATATAAAAACATTCATCTGAACCCACATTTTCAGTGCCAGTAGCAACTGCATTAAATAAGGAAAGTTAAGTGGTGCTTGAAAAAAAATTCTTAATTGTTAAAAATGTAAAAAGTAAAGTAGCATGAAATAGGGGAGTCCTATGACCATTTCCCTTGATTGCATCCACATCCTTTATCAAGATAACTTATAAAATGAAGTAGAAAAAAATGGAAAAAGTGGAAAAAATAGAAAAAAGTAGAATAGCACAGGAGGAAAGCTAGCATCAGGATTATTAGCATCATGACTCATAGAATGTCCCCATATGATTACTTCCCGTTCCTTATTCTTTCTCCATTTATACATATTGGTAAAAAGTAGGATTGGAAAAACCATGCAGAACAAATAAGTGGAATAGAGATTACACAAAACAAACTTTATTTTGATACATTTCAGTGAAATTAATTCCCATCAATAGGAGTGTAAATAGAGTTTAATAGTATTGAGTTAAACTGATGCACATCACACCCACACTATTGGTCAAGATAATTTCAGTCCTCCTTAATTATGAGGAAGTAATATCTATTATGTCAGTGATATTTTAGATTTATTTTAGAAATTTTGAGAGGTAGAAAACATTTTTGGTTTTTCAGCATTTATGCAATACAGTATAAGGATTGGTGAAATAGAGGCTTTTATAAAATTAGAGAATTGTTCACAGAAACACTATTATTACTGAATATATTTTGCAAAACATTGGTCACAAGTTCCAACTGGGATTCAAATATATTAAGTTCAGTCATTGCTTCACAACTATCTATTGCTTCACAATCAGGACAACTAGCAACATCGTCAAATGCATCTTCTTTATTTGAAAACAAGAGAATCTCTTCCATCAGGTTATCTTGAAAGTCTAAAAAAAAATATGGGAGAATGATTTGATATTGGTAACTGTCCTTGGAACTGTTTGTGGCACAGAATTCTTTTTAAATCTGTTTCAACAAGTTATCAAGAATTGACCATGATAATCCATAGGTTGCACTCTACTCTATTAAAATTAAACTTAATAAATAATAAACTTTCTGGATTATATTGATGGGATTGTAAAAAATAGTAGTACATGTCTGGTAATAATATCTAATTAGTCTTTGACAATGAATCCTACACTGGTTTACTGACTGTTTTTCACAAGACCAATTGATAGAACATACAAATTCAGTTCCTATTGCTTGCTGCCTCATTTATTATTACAAAATATTGAAAAAATAAAATACATCTTTCACTGGTATGTCAAAGTGTGGAAATTGCTCTTCCAGATAACACAACAAAATGCTTTGGAAGAACACTACAATGAAGGATAAATTTATTCAAATCTAGTTGCCATTTATTTGTTATATTAATTATAGTTTTCCCAATAGACTTTATTTTATTTATTTATTAAATTTGTATGCCGCCCATCTCCCCTCAATGGGTGACTCTTCATAAATAAGTAAGTAAGTAAGACTTCATAATACAAATGCTGTTTCCTACAGGAATACTGAATATGGATGTTTAAAATGATTGTGTTTTTCCTTAAGATTACATATCAATACATAGACACAGACACATGCACAGAGAGACATGGTTTTCATTTATTTATGATTTTATGTCTTGCTTATGTTTCTTTTTAATTCAGTAATTCTCTAGTTTTTGTCTTTAGCAAAAATAATAATGATAGTAATTAATTTAATAATGTTAAATGTTACCAGGGTAATGTGATCGATGCATATATGTGTAAATATACACACACACATATTCACAACTGTTCACATAGTCCCAAAATATCAGTTATTTAAAATATTTTAGAAGTTACTTCCACCCCAGAGGACCCAGCACTTTCGTCAAAATGACAAAAGTAGCATCATACTGTCATGACACCAGCTCCACCTCTTTTATAGTTGCATGACAACAGGAAACACATACAAAAGGGGCAGAACCAGCATTGTATTGGCTCAATGGGGGGGGGGAGTATTGACCGTCCTATGATCACCTCTGCTCCTCATTGTTGCTATAGACTGACTCAGGCCTTTTTTTCTTGGCTTGTGATACTTGACTTGGATCAGAATTCCCCTAAATTTAAGCCAAAACAGAACTCCTTTGCCTGATTTCCCCAGTTTTTGTCTAAGGGCTACCAATTAGGATAAAACTGAAATAATCAGGCATTGTTCTTCCAAGATACTCTGCTTGGCTTAAGCATATTAATAGGAATGGAATTCTGAACATGATGTCATGTGGAATCAAGCTCAGGGTTATGAAGTAGGACATCTCCATTTGCCCAGCAACTCAGTTCTACCTATGAAAAGTTACATAGGTAGAAAACTACAGCTGGTGGTATTATGTTAGCATGTTAGCAAATGTAAAGCTTTGTATTTACAATTCTGTTTCCCAGAGCAAAACCTAGATTAAGCTCTTCAGTTAGTCCAAGGTGCAGCTGGTGTAGCTAATTTTCTACACTCTGATTCCAGAGAGAGGGAGTTAAATCTTTTTAAAAATCTGCCAGATTAGAAAGCCCTGCAAATCCTTCACAGGTGCATTCTCACTTAGCTTTAGAAGAAATTCAGATCTTGGAATGAATAAAGACATTGATGCTTTACTCTCCTCCATTCCTTGCTAGGACTGCTTGAATTATTAATATTAGAAAAATATATTCTAATTACTTACCATTTTTATTATTCCTAATCATTAGCTTTTTATTTGTTTTTATTTATGCTGTAAGACATAAAATATAATACAGTAAAAATTTACCATAGTCTGACAAAATTCTCAAGTTAAATTTGAGGGTTTTTTTCACAAAAACATGCCATTTGAAATATTGTTGATTTTTTTTCTTTTGTATTATATTTTGCTTTTAACTTGGGAATTTATCACATTTGAAACTCAAGAGTGGAGATACCATTTAAAGAAACATTTAAAGGAAAACTTGATTAGAGAGGAGAACCATTTCTTTTAGGTAAACAGTGGGGAAAGTCTTATTTCTACCTTTATTTGTGGAGGTCATGTACTTCAGCATCCACATGGCAATAGATGAGTCCGAAACCATTAGTGCATGGGGCAACATCAAATATAGTAGAATACTTTTTTCCTTTCTCTTTGGGACATTTATTCATTTATTTTGATCCCCTGTATCTTTCCTCCTTAGGAACTGTTAGTGTTCATTCTTAATAAACCATGAAGACTTTTCATCTTAGGTCCAAAAGCTGCCTCCTATTTTATATAGTAGACAATTTCTTCTGCATACACAATTATGGCAAGTTATGGTCAATGATCCTTAAGAATACTTTAATTGTACCAACAAAGGAAGTATTAATAAAAAGCAGTTCTCCTTCACCGTAAACTCTCTCTCTCTCTTTCTCTTTTTCTTTCTCTCTCTCTTGTGATCAAAAGGGAAAGCTTTATGAAGCAGTTTATTGATCGACAGCAGCAAGATACAACTTGTTTATTGAGAAGGCTTCCATCAGCTTCTTCCTCCTCATGTGACCACTCTAAAAGGCTGGCAATTGAAGACAAATACATTGACCAGAAGGCAAGTCACTAGATACAGCAGTGTATAAAGATATCCAGTCATATTGTGATCTGAAGTCTTAAATGTATGTGGGATGTCACTGTAGCTGCTGGTTGCACTGAACCCATCACCTTTTTCTAGCCTGGAATGGGAAAACCTGCATGGGGCTGGTGAAGAGCAGAGCTTCTTGGAAATGTGTGTGATTGATGCTATGAATAATAGGAGAGTTCTTCAGAAAGTGGGGGGTTGTGTAGATGTTTTTCTAAACATTCCATGGTCTTTCTGAATGTTAATACCTCTAGTATGACATTGCAGTGAAGAGGAATAATTGTATCCTGTTTACCCAAGCCCTGCAACAGTGCTTCAGTTCACCATCAGCAATGAATGGTCATGCTTTGTACCCAGAAATCATACTTTCTAGAATCTGTTTTTTAAAAAAAGTCAGAAAAATATAAAAATAAATGTCAATTATCTAGGAGGAATCTTTTCTGATGCCTTGAAAGACTGCTGCCAGATCACACTGGGCTTCACGGATTGACTTAGTCTCCTGTATTTAGCAGGAATTTTATCCATGTGGCTGGAACATTAGGTTTCATTTTGTTAGATGATTATAGCTTTCTACAGTAACAATTGCCATAGCAACCTCACATTTAACTATACCAATTTCCTCCAAAGCATCTTCTCTCTAATACTCATTTGAAATAATAATTTTAAAAAATGAACATTTGTCTGTGTGCACAGTAGAAGAGAAAGAAAACACAAGCTATGGAAAATGTTAATTAAACATACAACAGTGAAAACAAAAACAAAAGAAATACTCTGCTGACAGCTGTCAGATTCCTTTGTGCATGCTATCTGTAGTTCATGCAGTGTGAATCAGAGAACTCAGAACACTGAATAATATTTAAAATTATGAGAATTAGGCCTCAACGTTTAACAGAATCAAGCTTTTAGCTGTGGCTGCAGAAGTCCTTTAGGGAACCTCTCTTTATTCTGGCACCTCACTTTGTAAAAAGGTTAAAATGGGTATTGACTCACATCAGCTTTATTGTTAGAATTATATCTACTTTAAGCTTTTTAAAAAAATACTTGTCATTACCTGTTAGGTTAAAGAGCTTTATTAAAAGAGATCTAACTGAAACCTCTGACTTATTCTAAAGTTTTACCATCCAACTCTGCAAAACTGATGTACAATGAGATTATTTAGAATCCCCATTGAAATAGCATAACAATTTCCTTAATGAAGAAGTTAGGTTTAATAATAATCCAGGGAACATGGGATTATAATGAATAGAAAATAAAAATTAGCACTCTATATGGTTAACTTTCTCCTGTAGGGAGAGAATATATCTTTAAAGTGTAGGTAAGATTGTAGTGTGAACTGTAAGTGTCTTAACAGTCTCAGGATTCCTGGTGGTCTCCCATCCAAATAGTGGTCTGAACCCTCCTTAGCTTTTTTTGAGACAACCAAGGTAATCTAGGCACCCATCTGGGTCCACTATGACAGATGACAGCAGAAATAGTTTTAACAAACCTATAAAAATACTTGGGAAATGAAAATGATAACGATAATGTGAAAGCAAGTTTAACAGGCAAGAAAAAGAAATGAGTTTATTAACAAATGAGTTACACTAGTGTAAACACACTTGCTGTTGATCAAATTTAGTTCTGTGTCAAGCACATAGTTTCATTGGTTTGCAACTAAAACTAGTATATATGTATACAATTAGGTGAGATATTGCAAAGGTTTTCAGAATTCAGAGGCATAGTTTTTTTGACAGCAGTTTCATTATTTTTTTCGTCATAAAGCATTATTTCATTAGATGGCATGAATAAAGTCCCTCCCAATGATATACAATGTTATTTATTTATTTGTCAGATTCCACCTTTCCTCTAAGAGCTGAAAGCCACCTGCATAAGACTTGCCCCTCCAATTTTCCCCACAAACCTATGTGGAAGGTTGGGCTGAGAGCAACTGGACCAAAGTCAAGGCTGGACTTGAACCTGGGTTTCTCTGGTCCTAGTGCAATATCTTAACTACTATACTATGTTGTCTCTTTCACTCACTAATATGGGTGAATCCATGTAATGCTAATCATTACGACTATGCAGAATTTCAGATGTGAAATCAAAAAGGTTTCATAGCATATAGGGCATGAACATAACATCTGTCTGCAACTTCTTGAAGGAACTGCACCTTTTCCTGGGTGACACATTTGCCTTCTGCAGCTGCTTCACTATCCTGGAAAAAAATGCATTTGGTTTAAGAAGTTACGGATAGATGCTATCTGTGCTTCCCCTTGCACTCTGAAGAATCTTTTTGCCTTTCAACCCAAAGCTTTGCACAGCCTATTCCTCATGTTCCAAGATTGGAGTGACATAGTTCTGGGCACCATTGTGAATGCCTGAGCTAATGAGAAAAGTCTTCAGCAGGAGTGGCTGACAGTACAGAAATCAATGTGCAGAAGGCTTGCAATGCAAAACCACCGCCCGCCCCTCCCCAGTATATTCCATTGAAATTCAAATCCATACGGTCCAGAGAACAATATCTGCCTACCTAATATTTGGATTGTGTTTGCTGGTGACCAAGCACCATTTCATTTGGTTTGATAATCATGTTTTAATTTATACTAGAAATAGATGATAAAATGCATATCTAGCGTTATCAAGCTAGATCATGCTTGCTAATCAAGCAGTGTTTGTGTGGCCTATCACATTCTCTGAAGTCTTGCATTTTGCTTACAAACTATCTTTGTAGCATTATTATCATCATCATTATCAAGAACAACATTGCTTTTTACAATCATGTTTTCATGTAGAAATGTAACTGTTTTGTTATCTATGACATCTGAGTTGTTGTCAAATATGGTAGCTTCCCATCCGTATATCAAATGTGTTTTTATCTTTTCTTTCTTTTGAAACCATCTGTCTTCCTTGAAGCAATTTTATGCTCCTGATAGGTCTGGCAGATTTTCTCTCTTAATCATTTTTTTTAAAGCAGTTATGTTCCATGTCCTTAGAACTGAATTTAGTGCATTGCAAAATAAGCATAGGAGGATTTGGCATTAAAAGTAAAAAGAGCCTTAAAAGTGCTGATCTATATTTTAATAAAACGTTCTGATGTAATTTCTTGTGAAAACAAGTAGTATGTTTCAGTGTACATGTTAACATACTAAATCTAAGTTTTCAGAGTATGTATGTATGTATTTATTTATATTTTAAATTTAGATACCACCCATCTCTCTAAAAGTGACTCTGGGTGGTTCACAATAAAACAGCAATAAATATTAAAA